GCGTAGACGTTACACACACAAGGGAGTATTCCCGTAACAATTATGTCTTCTTATAACAACATTGCGAGCGTTTAGTTCTTTGTATTGGCTGAGTCATCACGATAAGAACTCAGCAACAGAGAGATGCACAACGCTTAGTGCAAAGCAAGTTGCACTAATTTCCGACATTCACAGTTTTTCCTTTTGGTCAAAGAAGCTAACAGTCTGCACAAGATCCATTGTACAAGATTAAAATACATAACTCCTTACTTTAATGCAGTTTCGTTCTTCTGATTAGAGGCAAATAAAGAAAACGGAGTAAAATTTGATGTTAAGACACCTGTTACTTATTCCTCCAAAAAAGCCAATTATTAAAGCCCTGAACTTGGGAGTGCCATCTGGATACTCCCATTTTAGTTCGCGTTTTAGCATCCCAAACATATGTCATTATGGGCTATTATTTGACAGTATGTATGCCTATATGATGTTCCGGGTGAAGTCTTTATTATTGTACGACTTGACATGATATGGGATAAAATCTAAGAGATGATGGGATATGTGCTGAATACTAGGAGGTTGTGTGAGAATAGCCTATTTCTCCATATCACCTTAATTTCGCGGACTATTTGTAGCTCAGTGAAAATGCCAAGGTTGGCGGCAGAGTGGTAGAGCTTGGGAGCAAATACTTCGGCGCCGAGAAGGTTGTTGGCTTTTTTTTCTTTTTGTGGAAGTTTCGAATGGAGGCCCATGCATTGTGTTTCTGCCATTCTAACGCAAATAGAATTCAAACAGACGCTCATCCTCTTTTCTCTTGCTTAAGAATGTTTCTGCATGACTTGGGGCATTTTAACTTGTCACTTTTCCATCTGAAACTTTCTTTTCGGCTGATGTTTTGCAAGTAAAAGTGTTGAGTCCTTTGAGTGCAGACAATTCGGAAGATGGGTACAAACTGGGTTGGCATGACGTTAATGCTGTAACAGACCCTGAAAAATTGGCTTGTTTTGCTATCAAGTAGATCATACGTATCATTGATGAAATTATTAGCTTTCTTCCAGACTTTTATAAACCATATTTGGAGGTTCGTGTTGACTGGAGAAGTGGTCATTTCTCGAGCTGGTTTGTTTGTTTGTTTATTCCATTTACATCCTGTCTAAGTCTAAGACTATTGTAGGATGTAAATTCTTGAGCTGGTAAGTCAGCGTATTCATACCAAAAGTAAACAACCCTGTTGCCAGGTTGAGTAGATTGAACAGGAGGTTGTGGTATTGGACGATATACTGTATAATCGTCGGATTCCCAGTGATTTCTTCGAATAATTGAGAAAAGGTGCTTTTTTTTGTTCAGGCTGCGTTGGGGTCACTGTTTGATTGTGATGCTGAGCAGCCTGCGTAAAATGACGAGTTTTAGCTTGTGGTGGGAGTGAGAGCTTAGGATGTTGCAATAGAGATTGAGGGTTTAAAGGATATGGAGGATGTAGTTGATGTAGATGTAGATCTGATGGTAGCGGAGCTTGATGTATGGGAGGTTATAAAGACGGTTGTGGGGTTGTATCATACTCATCACCCGGGGCAAGAAAGTTTTCGTCATCACGTATCTTAATTATCCATTTGCCTAAACTTATATGATCCTTCTTAAAGCCGGGTCTTTTGAACGCTTCACAAAAGCCTTGTTTGCACGGGCTTGCAATTCTTTCAAACATTGCCTCTGTCCAGTGACCAAAATAGTCTAAAAGCTCATCGTAAATTGCTGAGGGGCTGTATACTTCTGGAATTAAATCCCAGTCTGCAACAGATGCCATAGCAAATGAAGTAATCGCTATGGAAGGGGAGTCGTTAAGAATAGATTCTTTGTTCTAGTGTTCAAGTGACAATACTTGAGGACCCTTTTTCCTGTATGCCACATTAATTCCTTCAATTAAATCAAGCAATTCTTTCTCCTGGTGATCCGAATCCATATGAGATAACACCTATACCTTTGGTGTGTAGAGCGTTTCTGGTGAATTTTCAGACAATAACTTCTGGCCGGGAAAGTCTTGTGAAATGGCCATTTCTAAAGAATGAGAAATGATGAGAATACTTATCATGTGGTGAAAGAAAGCGGAAAAATATGTTGCAATAAGTAATGCGCAAAATGGTGGAAGTTTGTTCAAAGTAGCGCGGGAAAAACTGAAGTAAAACATGGTGTAAATTGATGAATGGAAAGAGTTGGAGCCAGTGCCGTTGGTGTTCTGGGGTTTGCTTCAGATTGGGTTGGTCTACATAAGTTCAATGGATAAACTTGATGATTGTTCGTTTAGATCACACGAATCAATCTGCTGGGAAATGCTGCTTCAACCAGTAAATTGATCTTTCTCGGTCAAATGGAAGGGGCTATTATCTCCGCGTGTGGCAGTCAAGCATACGATTTCGCGATGTATTAGCACTTGCAGGTTCCTGCACTTGTACCGGCTTACACAGAAGATCTAGTCTACTGCCCATAGGAGAATGTCAGAAGGAAATGCTGTCTCTTCAACCTCTCTGTTCTGTGGTCGCCTGTGGACTACTGATCAGTGTCGATTGAACTAACCTTACGTAGACGTAAATTAAGGCCAATCAACATTATATAATATATGATATTTCAAGACGGATAGAGTAGGAATCTTATTAACTCGATGTGGTAACCAGGGCCTTGAAGAGAGGTGTAGTTTACAAATGCCAGCGTGGATGAGTTAAGCATCTAGTTGACTGTTGGTGCAAGCTCCATCGAAAAAACCCGGCATGGGTCACCAGCGCAGGTAGTCTTCAGTTTAAATTAGTTAATATTCATTCAACTATCAAGCTAAGACAAAAGATAAGTGCCATGTGCTCATGTTAGATGACTCCTTTGACGTTATAGACACTCATACTCTGGATTTCATTTGCAAATACCACTGTGATGTCGGTTTGCTCGCACATGTAGTCGGTTACTCTCCTCCGTAAGTACCCAACAAAGGAATGTATCAAAACCTATGATTATGCAAGCAAGCTTTCGTAGACTATCCACATGAATACAGCGAGACATGTGGTTGAGCTTTTACGGATTCGAATCAAGTCTATTTATTATTATATACTTTTTTATATCAGGTTTTGTGTGTGCAGATATCCAGCTTTCACAAATTACCATTGACGAAGTACATAAAAGATAACTCAATATAAACGAAGAGTACTCATGCCTCAGATTTCATTTGCAAGTACCACTGCGAAATTGTGGCGACTTTCTCTTCGCCCAAAGTCAACCCTCATCCGTAAATACCCACTTAGGGAAACGTCTCAAAAACCCTGAGTTATCCAGATATCTTTCTATCATCCATTAAATTTTCTCCCAGCGAAATGTGGTCTGAGGCGTCTCCTTCCCTAGTGGAGTAGGTGTCCAGGCTAATCAAACTAAACCTAGGAACACGACCAGTTGTCTCTTGCCTTATGTTGCACTGGTAGTGGTTGTGGCTAACTGGGAGCGTCAATAGTGTGTGTCAAATCTTATGGGCAACACTACTTAGACCAAGAGAATCCATTTTGCCTTACACACCCCTTTCTATGACGAGTTGTCTCATATCCTGGACGACTTGATTTCAAATAATGTGCTCATGTCACATGATAGGGCTCTTTCAAGTTCCTGCGGAATAGTCACAAGGCTGGATCAGTCTATTAGTTCTACAACATCACGACAATCTTAGATTCAATGCTACAGTGAGTGGCAGTCAGTCTCGTACACAGTGACTTTGTAGCTTTTCTATCCTTAATCCAACCATCAGCATGAGCTCGATTATCAAACAGTCGAGCAATATTGCGAAGCTGTCCAGGTCTTGTCTTCAATCGACCTCACGAACAACTACACGTTACTACAGGAACCCTTCGCTTTTAAATTTACTAACGGGCAACCAGAGATCTCGATTCTACACTGATCCACCAAAGACAGATAAAAAAGAATCTCCAAAGGGTGTTCCTGAAGTGCCGAAAGAACCAGCTGCGTCACCTACATCTGTTCCTGACACCCCGAAAGATGGTCACGAGCAGAAAACTCCATCTCTTTTGTCAGAAGAAACTTCAAAAAATAAGTCAAATGCATCTCCCTTGCCAGAAGGAATCACAAAATTGAGTGAAGCGGAAGAAAAGGCATTAGAGGAGCTTCTAGGAACTCTGAAGAAGGGTCTATCTAAAGGACAGGGTGAGATGATTGACAAGGCGTTCGATGCGCTAAAGAAAGATGGATTACCAAATGAACTAAAACAATTTTTCGACGAATTAATAAATAAAAAAAAACCGATCTCTTTGGCCGACGCCATAAAATTATCGAAGCTGGTATCACAGATTACTCAAAATAAACATGAAACATTGGCATCTTCTAATAATACAATCGACTCCAAAAAGCTCGACAGCAAACCTCAGTCGCCTTTCTTTCATACCTCGGAACCTAAAAATAAAAAGGAAAACTCACAGGGCGGTAACTCTGGAGCTTGGGAGTTTAAGTTAGACTTTGGAACTATATTTGCCTCAACACTTGTCAGCTATCTCCTGTTCCGATTAGCTGTACCGGGAGAGAGTAGCAGAAATATCACTTACCAAGAATTCCAGAGCACTTTTCTCGACAAGGGTCTAGTGGAAAAGCTCACTGTCACGAATGGAGGCAAAGTTAGGGTTGATCTCCATCGCGAAGCAACTTTGGCACAATATCCAGACTCTCCTGGTGCCAATCCGAACTTCCACTACTACTTTTCGATAGGTTCTGTAGAATCTTTCGAAAGAAGACTTGACGAGGCACAGGATCAGTTAGGTATTCCACCTTCAGAACGCATACCAGTGAACTATGCTTCAGAAGCAGATCTTTGGAGTTTACTAATAAACTTTGGACCCACGCTTCTCTTTGTTGGAGCGATTTTTTACTTGTCAAAACGAGCTAGTACTGGTGGCGGCGGCAGTAACGGAGTTTTTGGGATAGGAAAGACCCGGGCCAAACGATTTAACCATGAAACAGACGTTAAAGTCAAATTCAGTGATGTGGCAGGCATGGATGAAGCAAAGCTAGAGATAATGGAATTCGTTTCATTCTTAAAAACACCAGAAAAATTTGAAAGACTCGGTGCGAAAATACCTCGAGGGGCTATCCTCTCCGGACCCCCAGGAACAGGTAAAACTCTTCTAGCAAAGGCTACAGCAGGAGAGTCTCAAGTACCTTTCTTCAGTGTTAGCGGATCGGAGTTTGTTGAGATGTTTGTTGGGGTTGGTGCTTCTCGAGTGCGTGACTTATTCGCCAAAGCACGCAAAAGTACACCTTGTATTATTTTTATTGACGAAATTGATGCTATCGGTAAATCCCGTGGGAAATCAGGGTCTTTTGGCGGTGGAAACGATGAGCGAGAGGCTACGCTCAACCAGATTTTGACTGAGATGGACGGATTTAACACTTCGGAGCAGGTTGTCGTTCTTGCAGGGACCAATAGACCAGATGTTCTAGATAAAGCTCTGTTAAGACCTGGTCGTTTTGATAGACATATAGCAATCGACCGGCCTACGATGAGTGGTCGCAAACAAATATTTCTAGTTCATTTAAAAAAGATTGTCACCCACGAAGACCTTGAATACTTGACTGGGCGTCTTTCAGCCCTAACTCCGGGATTTTCGGGTGCGGATGTTGCTAATTGCTGTAACGAAGCTGCTCTCATTGGTAAGTTCCGAGTACTAACCTTTTATCAGCCACAAGGCTAACACTACTAAGCTGCTAGAAAGAGTGCGAAATCTGTAGAAATGACTCATTTCGAACAAGCGATCGAACGAGTAGTCGGTGGTCTTGAAAAGAAATCATTGGTCCTCTCTCCAGAAGAGAAGAAAGTTGTAGCTTACCATGAAGCTGGTCATGCCATCTGCGGCTGGTACTTTAAATACGCAGATCCTCTATTGAAGGTTTCTATTATTCCACGAGGCCAAGGAGCATTAGGCTATGCTCAATATCTTCCAAATAATGATAGCTATCTCTTGAATGTCAAGCAACTCATGGATCGCATGGCAATGACGCTAGGTGGACGTGTTTCCGAGGAATTACATTTCGAAACAGTGACCTCTGGGGCTTCCGATGACTTCAACAAGGTAACACAGCTCGCAACAGCCATGGTAACGAAATGGGGCATGAGCAAGAAACTCGGCACCTTACATTTCGAAGATAACAGCGATAGATCTTTCCAAAAACCTTTCGCTGAGGCTACTGCTCAGACAATAGACTCAGAAGTCCGCAGAATAATTGATGAGGCATACAAGCAATGTAAAGATTTACTCACTGAAAAGATTACGGAGATAGGAACTGTGGCAGAAGAACTGTTAGCAAAGGAAGTATTAGACCGAAATGACATGGTCCGATTATTGGGTAAGCGGCCGTTCGAAGAGAACAAGGATTTTGAAAAATACTTTGGCGGGGGTCAAAAGAGTGCACCACCACCCTTTCCCTCTGAAACATCTAGCCTATCGGAGTCTACCACAGCCACCTGAAATTACTACGGAGTCACAGTCTGAATATGACTCCCGGCAAATTTTGATTCGAGGACAAGTTATCCGAATTCAGATACGACGAAGGCATTTTATCATAGAACCAGGTTAGCATGAATGTGACCAATTTAGCCGAGATCTTTCAAATTATTATCGGAGAACTCATGAACTTGGGATTTATAGAATTGAATCTACGCACAGTACGCTAAATCTTATCTGGACTGTCGCCTTTGTTCTCGATCATTGAAGCTAACTACAGACTCCGCTCCCGCTCTTCTGATACGATTTGGTGTTGCTTATTCGCACCCATTTAGCAATATTTCAGCTGTTTACTTTACCACCCATTGAGTAATCTGGTATGCATGGATAGGAGAGCAAAAATGGGTGTGAATGGATTGTGTTTAGATTTACATTTAATATTATTAATCACATGAAGGATTCCCCGAACCCTTACTACCAACCCAGGATGGTTAGATATTTCTGTTCCCTAATCGTCACTGGGCGACTGTTCTTTAGCGTCTTGCTGATCTCCAATATTCTCTTCAGGCCCATAGGGCATTGTCCGAAAAACATCTCGTGCTCGCTGCATTTCTTCATCTGGCTCCTCTATTATGAGATCTACAAAATCTGTTTGTCGTCTTAATTCATCCTGCCCTCCGACAGTGTTCCATTTTTTGGTGTCAATGTTCTTCGTGCGTCGTGGTCTTATGGAGGTTTTTTGTACGATTGGATAATAGTACGCACCTTTTGCATTTAGTCCATCTGTACCATCCTGAATGGCAATAACAACCTCATCGTCATACTTCGTCGATGTATCGCCAGATTGGGTAGAGCTCTCGTAGGCTCGTACACGTTTGAATCGGAAGCAGCCTTTACCATCTAAAGTTTTTTGTGGATATAAACTCTCGTCCTTGTTGCTTGGGTTTTGTGGGTCGAATTTTCGTTTGAACTGAAGACTTTCTGAAACCGTCTCCGTCAAGAAAAACTCGTATTCGAACCTTTCTTCAGGCGCTGGATATCTTTCTGGATCACGCTCATGAAGATCTCTCGCGATCTGTTTTTGAGCTTCAAATTCTTCGGAGGGTTCTATGGGTTTTAAAAGGCTACTCTCGAGGCGTTTGTCGTATGTCGAGCTTGGTGGGACAGGGTTGGTGAGAAACTTAATCGAAACATAGCCCCCAGCATCTGGGAAGGAATCCAAGTCTGGAAGTACGGGATAACAGTCAACTAGCTTTAGACTTCGTTTTGAGGGATGCCGGATTAAACTTGGATTCTTCAGATTGTGGGTAGCAGTTTCAAAGGTTTTCTCCACTTGATTTTGTATATACTCTGGTGATTCTTTGTTAAGATTTTGTGCCGGCCTATTACTTTTTCGAATTGCAGTGCTATTCACTAACGATCGTGACGTGGTTGATTCAAAACGCGATTTGGATGTGTAGGATGAAATATATTCAGTACGCCGTAAAAATGAGACGCCAGATTCGGATAACTTAGGCTTCCCTAAAGTAGATAGAGGACGAAGGAGCGCACGATCTTGAGGATGAGGAACAGGGTTGTTTAGTGGTGCTTGAATATCTGTGCCGACGGCTGAGTGAGCGTTTGTGCAACAAAAATGTAAGTTGTTTACTTACAACTCTCGTCGCCATCAAATACACCAGGCAAACCAACCATGTCGAGGGGCATGCCAAGCTCGGCATCGGCTTCGATGTTTAGTGGTTGATCTCGAGCGAGTCGCGATGCAAATCCAGGATTTGTATACTGACCACTAGCAAGGCCAGTGTTAGGAATATCAAGCAGCTTTGGTGGATTTGGAGGCGGTGGTAAAGCATTCGAATACCGTATTCGTGCTATGTAGTCTTGGTGGATTACCCGATTCTGTGAATAAGATGAAGACATGCTTATCTGATATTCAATCGAGAGAATTGTCAACTAATATTCAGCGCGTAGAAGCTAGGAATTTTTTCTACACCTAACTGCTATCCAAGGCTGAGGTAAGGCCAGTGATCACTTTATTAGATAATCAGAACTGTAATAATTGGTAGGAGCGTCATGGCCTATTTTTAGCGAATTTCAGATCGTCTCACCTACAGTGCGCTACGAAGCCTCATAGTGACATTTGCACCAGTTTTTGCAACCCGCTTAGTTTGGTCAGAAAATGTTGATGTCAAGTTTACTTCTTAGCCATTAAGACCTAAACATCTAAATTAGATCGAATTCGAGGTTTGGACCGACTGGCGAAATTTTGTCTCCTCAGTACTTGAATCTGATGTGACAAAGATGGTAAACTCCATGTAGGCAATATTTTACCCCATAAAATAGATTGTGATGTAAGACAAAAAAAAGAAGGTTTGTTCTGCTACTATTAGAGGCGGGTATGGATATGGTGGTTGAAAGAGCTTTACAGCCTTAGAATAACTCCAAAAGATTAACGCCTTAGACCCATCAACGCCCCACAACCTCTTCCTGATGCTAACCCTCAAAACACCCAAAGCATAATTTAAAATGTTGACATAGCAATCGGAGATATAATAGGGGACTCTCGATTGTTAGACCAGACATTCTAGATTTTATACCAAAACTATACTTGACCGGAAAGATTGACCTTAGGCAATGATGCTTGCGGGGAAGTAGCATGTCCAGTATTAGTGGTATTTTGCCGTTTTTGAGGTCTTTCGAATGGCTTCTCATCTTCGTCGGCGCTAGATGTTAAATCTATAACAGCAGCCAGAGGCCGCTTGCAATTGTTGGACCGGGTTAAGCCTGTTACAGAACTAATATCTCTAGATATACCTCCAAATGAAGGTTGTGATCTTATAGACGAGATCTCATGGTCTTCTACTGGTACAGGATGGCGAGCTGTATTGCCTATTCCAATGATTTCTACTACTTCATCGTCTATACAGGTGGTCTCAGTCTTGTGATTTTGCTGCAACATATCTTTTTTATCATTGAGCTCCCACTTCCCATCAGGTTGAATTGTAACTTGATCTGTATATTTAGATGTTTTTTGAAGAATATTCTTTACATATCTATTTCAAAAAGTTAATAGAAAGTTGCAAAGAATGCACTTCTGCACTCACTCGTCAACGGCTAGTGAATCAAACGGGGCAGGGTTGTTGCATATCGGACAAGACCATGTTGGGCCCTGCTCCTGTAGTTGCAGGTAGGACGTGGCATCAAAACATTGATTGTGCCGACACGAGATTGAGCGACAAGGAAGATCAATTCTCAAAGTCGAGAGTGGACACTTAAGGGACAAAACTGAAGCTGTTGCTATGATATCGGTGTCTCGAGACTTGCTAACCACTTTCCTAAAGTTAGACCCGTGCTTTAGGTGAATTGGGAATCTTACTTTCAGCCACAACGGTTTTCTCGGTTATTTTTTGTCCTTCTGCGAGCTGTTTAACAAGGTTTGGGACAGAGACTGCCCTTGTGACAAATGCCATTAAGTAGAATTTCTAGAATTTATTAGTAATTAATAATTAATTCCAATATTTAAGTGTGCCATTGATCGAAAAACGGAAACATGCTAAGCTTTGGAGTAAATAGAGTAAGCTGAGATTTTTACCTGCCTTATTCGTCAAAGCATAGTTCAATTCAATGTTATTGACATAGCCTGGAGGGTATAGCCGGATACTATCTGTAATATCAACGGGCCTTGTCGATCCAGGCTTATTTTTAAGGCCTCGTAGATTAGCTTTTATCTCTCCTCCATTTATCTTAAGCTCTGATTGATGAGGAAATGCTATATCCTGAGGACCCTGTCCTTCAGAAGCTCCGAATACCATTACTCTAAGGTTAGGTTCTTGTGCTACTTGTCCCAATATGCGATATTGGTTAACAGAGACCTGTATTTTTGCTATATGACGGTGTGTTGCCATCACTACCAAATGTTAGTGCATAAAATTAAAAAAAAACGATTTATCACACCATCACAAATAACTGTTGCTCCAAGCTGCTCCACCATTGAATAATACGGGCTAGACTTGAACTGTATGACTGCACAATTGGTGTGAGCTTGATTTGTCTAGTTAGCCATCTTAAGCTTGTCTACCTTGATTATTTTCTGTCGCTTGATAGCTACTTTCTCCACTAATAGACTTGTTGAAAGTTGTCCGATAGAAATTTAAGGGATTAAGAATTGAACGAGAGGTTGAGGAGATATTCGCTGTATGTTTTGCGGAGAGCGATACCGGACATGTGGATATAACATGTAAGTAGCGGCCATTCTGTGGAATTACACTTGGATTTTCGATCATTGTTTTGAGGCGTTCAAACTTAAATACTTCATTATTTGTGGCATATCGAAACAGTCCTACAAATCTTTGATTAGCCTGGCGCAAATGAGATTGAAAAATACACTTTTTCGCCTTCCAGACATGTTACTTACTCTCAATGATCCGATTTTGTAGGTCGGCTTTTACGCCCATTCTACTGAGGTCTTCTTGCCCACAAATTGAGGTCAGAATCCTGTTCACTATTTTTCCATTTCTGATGAGCCTTACAACCGGATCTGGGTCAAGGCTTCCACCACCAAGTGGAGTCATTGTGTGAGTGTGGTGAGAAATATTTGGTTAACGAGCTGATACATAGATGCTTGATGAGGCACAATGTTGATTATTGCGCCTGGCAGCGACCTTCTTCACACCACGAGGCTGCCGAGTTGACGATTGCTTCCGACTCGGCTGGCCAATGGCACGTCAGATCCATGAAAACGCTAGCTTTGATATGCATTGACTAGGCCTAGATTAGCAACGCATCAAAATCTACTACACACTTCAAAACATGGCGAAAGGTGCACGATCAAGTACCCGTAAAGCAAACAATGTGAGGCTCAAGACCAAAGTATTTGGACCTACAGAAAATGCAAGAACAGAGCGTCTGTCAGAAAAACTGCAGAAATTGGCATCACTGCCAAAACCTACACAAGATATCATCATGACTATAGATCCCGGTAACTAATGATTTCCTCGTTTTGGAACGAAGTAGACTTAAACTTTTAGAAACCTCTGATTATTTGAAAGAACAACTCTGCGAAGAGAGAAAGCAAGATGAAGGTCCACAAGCCCCGATCCTAAGCAGATCACCCAATTAATTCTTTTACAGTGATGGAAATTGATAATTTACCATTCATAGCAGGCAAACAACACAAGTCTACTGGAAAAAACAAAGTAGAGAAAAAACGTTTCAAGCGCAAAACTTCTATCGTCTTTCCAAAATACAACCGAGAAAAAACAAATTCAAAGAAGACAAAAAAATAAAATTTTCAACAATAAGCAGCCTAATCTCACTATCGCGATACAATAAAATTTTTCTAGTGACTTTTCTATTTTAATTGAAATTACAGGAATCCTGGCGCCTCAGTCAGAGACTAAGATGTTCATTACCCGATGATAACACTGAACAAGCAAAGGTGGTTTGTAAAAAGACTCGAATGAACAAAACTCAAATACCTTTTAATCCAACTATGAAAGATATTGATATGACACAAAGCGCAATGATAATCATAATTGAATGTCGATCGGTCACTTATCATGATGTGAGGCTTGAAGTTTTCATCGAATTTATGACCATAAAAATCTCACCTATCGCGAGTGAGAATATTTTAGACTGGAATCACTCTTGCAGTTAAAAAGCCAACTAATGAAAGAGGATTTTAGGTAACTTTAGGTTATTTTATCGAAAGACCCATCTCACTATGCTAATGCACTGAATTCTCCTATAAGCACTTTTGATCATATTTTCACTATGCAATTCGCCGAAAACCTTGTGCTGCTCTTCACGGCTATGGGCTTTTACATTTGCGCAAAGCTTACTCTTCTATTTATTTCGGAAGCTAGTTTCATGCTTGAAGTAGTTTAAACCGTATATATCCATGGCTATCATGTATTCCGCATGGAATCAGATGAATGACATTCTTTTTAAGTCACGTAAACTTCATTGCAACAATATCTTGTTCATGAATGCTGCTCGGTTAGCATATTTATAGAGATAAGATCCCTAACAATCCTGTCAATTACGAATACAACTTGTCAAGATTCTAACTTTTTAACATTCCCTTTTTCCCTTCTCCATCCCTCTTGCTATTGTCTCAGTAACCCAAAAAATTGATAAACATAGGAAGTTATTCAATATTGCCTCTAGAGAGAATCATAAGTCCTATGGTAACAGTCCCCTTCGACATTGAACAGATACTATTGTGTCTAATATCTATGGGCCTCGCAAGAACTATCAAGCACGTGTGCGAATGAAAACTTTCTCCAAGGAAAGTCACTAATCATTCTGGGCAAAGGGATGACTGGTTCTTAGTCTATCAGATCAGAAAGTAATGGTCTCGAGACTAGATTACCCTTCAAACATGCTCCCGAGGCATCTATCAAGAATAGAGAAAAGGAATTCGATTGAGAAATTACGACTGAACCTGCATAGAGATTCACGATTGAATTCACTGTGTCAGCTTTCAAAAGCATTTTCAACACTGTAGCAATGAATTTCCACCTAAGCTTCACAAAGTAATGGAAGTAGAAAGCTTCAGATGTTGAGAATCAAGGCCTATATGTCGATTTACTTGACTAAGATAAGCAGTGCAGAAGCAGCACTTTCGCCTATCTCGATTGAGTAACATTAAAAATTTACAGACAGTATTTAAGTAACTACGAGCGTCTATTGGCCACTTTATAAAATTTGGCCCGTAAACAACACTACCAGTTCTTTCCGTGCCCATTCACCCTCTCCTGCTGAGGGTTCCAGAAACGAAGGATCATATCCCTTCAACAACCCAGGCTCCAGCCCAAAAGATAATTTGGGATACTGTAGCTCGAGCCAGACCAGGGCGCAGCGCTGGGATATCGACATCAATTAGGGTAGACCAGGCAGCCCCAAAAGTAAAAAGTGCAGATTAGAGGAGAAAATTAGACACGCGACTGGTTCTACGCCTTGCCCATTGTCATCCCAACCGACTCTTACCACCAGCTAGTGTAAAATCATCAGTGTTACGGGAACTTGATACCGCAGACAACTATTTAACGCTGGTCGAGCGGGTAAAAACAAAGTCGCTCGGAAAGAGCTCCTATAGAGAGAGAGGTATGTTTATTGTACTACTTGAGTCTATGAATATCTAGCACATTGGGCTCCTCTCTGACCCAGGTCACACCTTGTACAGTGCTCCTATCCTCTTTTGTTACTTGAAAGATCATTGATATATTCCCCTTGATGAACAGCCATTCAGCTCAGTGTTTACCCGTGGAATTCGGCCACCTTTTCCGCAGAACCTTCTACCCATAAAAATAAAATGGTAGCAATGGAAACTGCGTGCGCGGGAAAAAGTCTCAAAAAACCTGCAGCCCCAGCCAGACGAGGCCTAAACGCCGGGACCACATGAGGTGCGCATATTCGTCTATATCTCCCTTCTTTGTAACAGTCGAGGCCGACTTGATCCAATCCGCCATCTCCGTATCGGGTGCTTGGTACGCTCCGGAAACTCATCGGATGGCTTTTCCTCCATGATCAAGGGTGGGTGATGAGTAAGACTCAGACCCTACCATCTGATCTGATCGTGGTTAGCTTCATGTTAATGGTGCTATGAGTTTGCTCAGAGAGAGTCGAAGACGATATAGACGGCGAAAGCGATTGGGAATCCTCATCGAAGCGAGGATATTGTTACTCAATATCAACTCTGCAGACTCTACAGTGAGAGCTGGAGGTTCGTAGGGGACACCACTGACAGATGTTGAGAATAGTCCCCCTTCGAAGCTGGGAATTCCATAGATTCCAGGCTTTCCTGAAAGGTAATCTTCCTTAGTAAATGGCTCCAGGATACCAGCGTCTTTGAGGATATCCAACGTCGAAACAAACCTACACCCTTTTTAATTAATACCTATCAGGCTAAATTAGAGTAGTCGATCAATAATTTTTGCCGTAAAAATTTATATATCTTTTTGTTTCGAAACTAACCTAGACACTCCCCATGATTGTGGTTTCAGTATGTGTCCATCAAGATTGTCGGGTGTCGCCTATCTGATACTAGTTACACCATTATTCTTTGTCACGTCTGATTTTTACGGGCCGTGCCCCTTCGATTATGCTGAGCCTGAATGATAGCCCAGTCTCGTTCAAGGATATCATTCAAGTGATCCGACGTAGAGTCGTTACTCACGACTAGAATCACTCAGTTAATTATGCTGAGGCTGGGAAACAGATCACTCAGTAGCGAAGGATTACGTGTCAGGAATCTAGATCACTGGAAGCTGCAGAGGGCATATTTAACGTAACGGATTTCCTGTGTTTAATCTCTACAAAAAAATATTAATACTTTGTGGTACTGTATACGTGCTGTGTCCGTAATTCTCTTCGCCCCAAACACTGAAATTCGAGACTGCGACGAGAAAACGCGTAACTTGTATCAGATCTATAGTTTATCCCGTTGTATCCCGTAATGAGACATTACCCTCTAGCCCATGTCATTGCCAGACATCAATGAATATAAACAGTCTCATATCCTTTAGTAAAGATCAAGAGTCTCAAGCAAGCCTTTACTATAAATATAATTCACATCTACGGGTACACCTTGACGTTTATACTTCGTCATTTCTCCGTAATCATTCGAAGAACCTGCATATTCTTAGTTTATTTTTAAAACTTCTACAGCTTTCAGAAAATCAACATTCTTAGTGGAAGAGCTCTTTTGGCGTCTTTTGATAGTATGGGGTGCTCGGCAGTGTGGCCTTGGCCTAAGGATCACATGTCGGACTTGATAAAAAGTGCTGGCATATCGGGTAGTTAACATTGACTGAGCTGGCCAATTTTGGGCCTTATGGTTGTTTTGTTTTGTTTTATTATTTTTGTCCTTAGCTAATGCTATTTTTTCGACAATGGGCCAAGGACAGGTGAAGCCGGTGAGGATCACTGTATACAGGCCCAACTCATTCCAACCGCGTGAACTTCCACATAAATAGTAGTGTTAACAGCAAAACTAAAATCATAAACAAAAATCAAAACCATAAATCAAATTCAGAAGAAGCCCCAATTAGGTCTGGATCCCGCGCTTCTCGCCCGTTCCCTTTCCTGTCACATCTTCCAAGTGACTGTTTCTGATATTCGCTGAGAGCCGAAGGTGAGCTCGCAGGCACCCTTTCTCCAGCTGGTGTCCTACTAATAACGTGTTGAAGCCTCGACGACTTCACTGAGGCTGGCCGCAACCTTTAACCTCCTCTTCAGATTCCTGAATCCTAAAACCCGATCTGTTCGACATGTAGACGTCATTCTTTGAGCCGTGAATCACCTGAATGGCTATCTCGGCTGCAGCTTTGATCTGAGCATAATTGGCGTGATTTTTCTGCTCGGCTTTGCGAATTAGCGCAAGCTGCTTTAGTTTCACCAGGCCGAACTTGCTGGGTCTAGATTTGCAGAACAGTGAGTCCGATCGATGAGGTCCCCCACAGTTTCGACAAATTGTGAGGGCTTTACACTCTGATTCCAAGTACATATTAGGTCTGTAATTCCAGCAAGCTGTTGGCGTGAAGGCCATGACATCGGTTGTATTGTTGTATTTGTCGGCGGGGTCGGAGGAGCTTAGCCGCTCCAGAGTCGTCGAAAAGGCGGGATCCGGGTCGAGGTGTGGATTCTTAGGGATAGAGCACTTGCCAGTTGTTGTGATGTGATTATTGCATTTACTCTAAATTTATCTCTGCCAAGTGCCAGGGATACAACACATCTATGCGAGTACTGCATAGCCCTACATGGCTATTATTACGATCGACTATTGAGGCGCAGCTTTATACAATGGCATAGAGTAATGTAGGATAGTATGGCATGGAATTAAGATTGTAGTACTTCATGCATAGACAGTGATGTACTGTATAGCGGGTACCAAATATGTGTATATAAGTCCTATCTACTACTGTGATATGTAGAACAATATAACCAAGCTATTCATCATATCGTCAAGCTCTGATAATCGTTATCCACCCTCTGTACTATCCCTAGAATATTCAACATCTCATACCTACTCATACCTTAATCACAACACCAGTTGATGTAGGGCGCTCCGGATTTGCTGGCCCCATGAGGACGAACCAGAAAGGGAACCGATTTAGTCACTCGCGTGACTTCCTCGGCAACCATCTTTGCCGTCACGGCGATGGGGCCAGCGAGAGTTCAAATTGTCTCCGGGACGGTGGCAATTTGCATGGCAACCAGATTTGACGCTGGTTCCAGTTTGATTCCAGATTCGCTCCGTGACATGGAGGAATCTAGGAGCTCTTTCTGAGCGAGTTCATTCTTTGCTGTCAGTGCAAAGCCTGTTTTGACCCGCTGAACCAACGTGATGTCGTCGGCAGCGGTACCAAGCACCTGTGACACGGCTAATCTTACGCCAGCTGGTGACAGGAGTTGGTGGGGGTGGTTAGCTTCGAGGCGTAGAAAAAGTCTCGCGTCGACTTTTGTCCTCGGATTGGCACTTTTTGCTTTTGGGGCGGGCGATGCTCCCTTTGTAGTCGACGGCCCGGCGCTGCGGCCAAGGCCTGCTCGGGCTACATTCGCCCAAGTTGTCTTTCGGGCCGGAGCCTGGGTTGTCGTAGGGTTAGGTACACTAATTTCATGAGCCCTCGGCGGAGTAGGGTTGCTGGGGCGTACAGGGAGAGCTGGTGGAGTGCTCCCTGGGCCTGATCGTATGAACTGGCCAATGGCCGCTCGAAGGTAGACTTTAATACCGTCTACAAACTCTTTTTCGTCGCCAATCGAAAGAGGCGAGAGTGCTGCTTCAACACTGCTTATTGCAGTGGAACAGATTGATAGACGTGCTTTTATTTGCGTCGTGCGACGCTTCTCGGCTTCCATCACTGATTGCAGCTCCGGAGGATATTCTGGTGCTGATGTCGAAGCTGTGCCTTTGGAGGCTTGCACAGCGAATTTTCTTGAAAACGTTTCTGCGTGTTCTTTCGTCTTCTCTCGGACGATTTCCTTTCCTTGAGGTGCTTGCCTCTGGGACAAGCTCGATGGGGGTATCGGTCTCGGGACCAATTTTTGCTGACCTGACGGGCTCAGAATCACTCATCTCTTTGTCGGTAAAGTTTGGAGACTTCCCTTCGATGAAGGCCTCACTCACGAACATGCTTGAAAGTTTTTGCGGGAGCCCTCGGGCGGACTCTCGCATTGGGGAGCTTTTTTCGAACAGGCTGCATGATACAAATGCCAGCGACTCTATCACAATTTATTGGAGGAATGCGACGGGCGCGAGAGGGTGGGAGAGGGGTAAGGGTGAAGATTCGAATTTCAAAAAATTGCGGTTGCTTTGTAAGCTGGCACGACTTTGAATAAACTGTAGAAAAAGATTATCTGAACCGGCAGAAGGGCTAAACATCGAGTGTGGCATATATTTCACTCGAGGGTTTCTAAAATCAGTCTTTTTTTTGCATCAGATTTTAACTGCGTATGCAGCTATCTAGCCATGATACAATACCAGAGAAGTGAATAGTAGATGACTCAATTTAAAAGAACACTCTTGCTTCGGATTTCACTCGCAGGTACCACCGCAAAGTTACGGTGGCTTTTTCTTCACCCCAAGTCAACCCTCATCCATTAATACCCACCCAGGAAAACGTCTTCTTAAATCAGTCGCTCAATGGCACTTGGTCGAGGTGCTTTTTCCTCAGCAACATGAAACACAGGAGGAAGTCTGGGATAGTGTGGGGATTTAGGCAGGACTACATTATTTGAATCACGAATGAGAAGTTACTACATCTATTCTGGTCCTACTAGAGTTCTTTTGCGAAGTTGCGCAAGGGGCCCTTTTTTTTTGCATCAGATTTGAAATGCGTATGCAACTATCTAGCCATGACACAATATCAAAGAAAAGTACTGAATAGATGATTCAACCTAAGAGAAAAGCACTCATGCCTGGGATTTCATTTGCAAGTACCACTGCGAAGTTATGGCGGCTTTTTCTTCACCCCAATTCAACCCTCATCCGTGAATACCCACCCAGGGGAACGTCTCACAACCCTGAGTTATCCAGACATGCCTCCATCATCTTTCAACTTTTCTCCGCGCGATATGTGATCTAAGGCGTCTCTTTCCCAAGTGGAGTAGGTGCCCAGGCTACTCAGACCATGTCAGAGAACACCACCTGGAGGTGGACCGCTACACCATCCATCCATGGCGATGTTTATAGTGTCAGCTGCACTCTCGCAAGCGAAGTCTTGGCGCGCACAAAGCTCAATTTGTAAAAACTCCTTGCCAGAATTCTAAATTCCACGCCCGTTGAGACTGTATCCATCCTTCTGCATCATCCTGTAAACTTGTCCTGAATTCCTCTCACGTCCATCCCAAAGAGCTATCTCCCAGATTTGTGCGCCATGCTTTGTTTCCTCTGTCGGGTGTAAATATCGGCATGGGCGTGTATTTGGTGACCGGCTGAGGCCAGAGAAAGTCGACGAGAGGTGTGGTCATTGAAACGAGGATATACTAGGTCGTACTTGTAGGCTTGATGAAGCTTTGTTGAGAATCGGACTTTTTGGGTGTGAAAGATTGAAATGGTGGAGTAATTTGAAATTTTGCTTCGTGGGCCAACTTCTTTGATATTGCAAAATTTGACCGAACTTGGCTCTGGGAGAATATTTCACTCCCAGGTTCGTAGAGGACACCACGTACAGGTGTTCAGTCTTGCCCTCCTCGCAAGGGGCCCTGTAAGTAGAGTGTCTACAACATAATTTAAACAAGAGCGGCGTTTGTTCATTAATTAGAAGACTGAAACCATTACAATTAGCCATAAAATAAGAAAACATGATGGAGTACATCTATCAGCCTCGCCAACTTCTAGATCTGCGTATTCGAATATAAATAGAAATCTTGAGACAGCACACCTCTTTACAAGTTCAATAAGGCTGGTCTCTTGCTCAAACATAGGAGGATGTTACCTTGCCTTACCCAGTTTCTACTTCTGATTCCTAACTCTCTCTTACCTGTTGCAACAATAATATTTGCAAGCGGCTTCTTTCCATATAAACCTCACCTACCTGGCTTTGCTAACAATGAACCTTGGAAAAATGGATCATCCCCTGAAGCTCCGTTTGACAAAATCATATTTATGGTCGTAGACGCTCTCCGAAGGTTTGTTTTCTGCTGCAAGAAGAAACTTCGATGTTGATACCCTAAGTGATTTTGTTTATGGAGAATCATCTGGCTTCAGTTTCACACAAAGGTGAAGCAGGCATTCTTTAAGCACAAAAATATCTCTAATTTAAACAAGTCTCATCTCATCTGGATCAGCCATTCCATTTACGGCGCATGCTAAACCACCGACCATAACAATGCCAAGGATTAAGGCATTATCAACCGGATCACTACCGTCATTTATCGACGTAATACTCAACTTTGCTGAGTCGGAATCGTCAAGCTTGTTCTCACAGGATACATGGCTCACACAAATGAAATCCAAAGGAACAGGAAAACTTTTAATGTATGGTGATGACACCTGGCTTAAGCTATTTCCCGGGACTTTTGATCGAATGGATGGGACCTCCAGCTTCTTTGTTTCCGTTAGTTGAAAAAAAATATCAGAAATAAGCTGCTAAAAATTGTGCACCAGGATTTCACAGAAGTAGATACCAATGTAACGCGTCACATCCCTCGAGAGTTAAGAAATAGAGACTGGAATACAATGGTACTACACTTTCTTGGACTTGACCATATCGGTCATAAATCTGGTCCTCAGAGGTTTGTTAACCTATAAATGTTGATAAATGGAAGGCTAACCCCATGGAGCCTGAATATGATACCAAAGCAGAATGAGATGGATGGTATAGTGAAGCAGATATACGATGCTTTATCAAAATTTGATCATCTACAGTCGACCCTACTAGTTCTTTTGGGTGATCACGGGATGAATGATGCTGGCAACCATGGAGGATCTTCCTCTGGAGAGACTTCTCCAGCTTTAGTCTTTATATCTCCAAAATTAAGATCTATCAGCACCAAGCTCGAAGCTCCTTCTCTACGTTGCGATGATTTCCGCTATTACTCCGTTGTTGACCAAACCGATATTGCCCCTACATTAGGGGCTCTTCTTGGATTTCCAATTCCTAAAAACAGCCTAGGAGTTTTTATTCCTGGGTTTTTATCGTTTTGGTCCGATGGTATTGGCTCACTTATTCTATGATAAGCTATCTTCAGCGATACTAATTTAAATAGAACAAGATAGGATTCAGATCTTACTAAGTAACGCTAAGCAAATTGTCGCACTTGTTTCTGCAAAGTTTATTACACTCGATTCTGATACAAATAATGACCAGTGTAATCTTAGTAAAGATGTAGTGGAAGAACTTTTCTGTCGGTGGAAAACCATCGTAAGAAATACTCCCAAAAAAGGTGCCGAAATCAAACTCATCCAGAGATGGAAAAATGATATTACTGAAGTAGCTAAATTTTTCCCTACCGAAATGGAAATCGTACTGATTTCTTTGCAGTGGCTAAAACAGGCACAAGAACTTCTTAGTGCCTCTAGCAGTAATTATAATGTTTTAAAACTCGGAGTTGGACTGGCTGTCATAATATTAGCCATGGGAATATCTATTGCTGTGGCAATATTACTGATTGGGGAAGGTTTGAGAGCCTACTTTTTTCTTTTTATAATAACATTGCTTCATGGAACAATGATGTTCGCTAGTAGCTACGTCGAAGAAGAGCAAAATTTTTGGCACTGGATAACCAATGCCTGGTTGCTGCTTCTTTGGATGAAACGGTATGTTTCATACTTAGGCCTAACTTCTTACTCACATAATGCTAGTAGCGTAAGACAAGGCCTTGTCACGCATCATTCAATTCAGTTTTTGCTTATATTACTCGCTGTAAGAATTGCAAGGCGTTGGAACCAGACGGGTCAAAAGTTTGCCGGTGAACCAGATATTGCCAACAATTTCTTCCCAGGTCATTGTACAACTTTGTGGTGCCTTGTAGGAATCGCCTATTTCTGGAACCTTTGGAACATTAAAAGGCTATGTTTTCCTCAATTACCACCATTTCTAGCTAGCATTTTTGCAACTACCCTTTCAGCTTGCGCAGTTAACTTTAAGATTGTATTCACACGGGAAGCTGCCCCAGAGATTCTTAATCATACCCTAAGAGCAATTGCAAATAGTGGCGTTGGGCTATCCTTGGTTGCCCAAGCTAGGATCCTGTTTACTCTCTTGGGTATAGCGCTTTCTTTATCAATATATTACAACTTAAAGTTCAATAATCACGAAAATCGTATGAATCAAAACATATTATGGAACATGAGGGTACTGACGTGTTGTAGGAGTCGCACATTCAATTCATCACCTTCTAACATTGTTTCTCTACACCCAAGCACGAGTAGAGAACATTCCACTCTTGATGGTTTTTGAAATCATACTCGTCCTAATGAGTGGGCAGCATCTAAATCCGGCTGAAATTACTACGACCTCCCTTGTTTTACAGCATATGTCATTCTTTTCTCTCGGTGGATCGAACGCAATATCGTCGATCGATCTCTCAAATGCATATAATGGTCTAAGGGACTATAATATAATCTCTGTTGGCATACTTACATTTATCAGCAACTGGGCCGGACCAATCTTCTGGACTTCAGGTACCAGTCTGATTCTTCTTCGTTCGCAACAAACAGCTGCAGATAATCTGTGGGCTGGTCACATAACTCTAATTACATTGTGTACTACAAGTAGTTTGGCCTTTGTTATGTTGGCATGCACTCAGTTACGCTCACACTTGTTTATTTGGACTGTCTTCTCCCCCAAATTGCTTTACAGCATAGCATGGAGCTTGGGTCAGCATCTGCTTATCAACGTAGGATATGGAGGTACAATTTTTAAAATAGGGAGGAGATCTATCGCTATCTAGACTATCTATCCCGGATCAAGTTCAAGTTATATCCACCTGAAAACCTAGGGTCCTGAAGGCTCACATTTATTGGACTTCATAGGATATGTTAATATTTGATGAGATTTGAGATCGTGTAAGCCTGATTCTTAAGGCTAGATTCTCACTGGCGCAAGAATGGTGGTATCGGTTCTCATATGTAAATAGTGTTGTGCACAACTTATAAGTTCGGAGGGCAAGACTGAACACCTGTACGCGGTGTCCTCTACGAACCTGGGAGTGAAATATTCTCCCAGAGCCAAGTTCAGTCAAACTTCGCAATACCGAACAAGTTGGCCCACGAGGCAATAATTCAAATTACTCCACCACGTCAAATTTTCACTCCTAAAGAGATCGAATCCTACCTAAGTCTCATCAAGCCCACAAGTACGACCAAGTACATCCTCATCTCAATGACCACACCACTTTTCGACCTTCTCTGGCCTCAGCCGGTCACCAAATACACGCCCATGCCGATATTTACACCCGACAGAGGAAACAAAGCATGGCGCACAAATCTGGGAGACTGTTCTTTGGGATGGACGTGAGAGGGACCAGGACAAGTTCACAAAATGATACGAAGGATGGATACAGTCTCAACGGGCGTGGAATTTAGAATTTTGACAAGGAGTTTTTACAAATTGAGCTTTGTGCGCGCCAAGACTTCGTTTGCGAGAGTGCAGCTGACACTATAAACATCGCCATGGATGGATGGTGCGGTGGTACATCGTCTTGGCCGGTCTGCCAAGTAGAGTCTGGATAGCTTGGACACATATCCCACTCGAGACAGTAGATCGCTGGTTCAAATCCGGCAAAACACAACAATATTTCTCGCGGCGCTGGTATGTATGGATGACCAAGGCATGCTTGGATAACCAAGGGTTTTTAATTTCTCTTTGGTGGGTACTTATGGAGGAGGGTCGACAGTTTGTGTAAGCAAACGTATCTCAGTGGTATTTGCGAATGAAATCAAGAGTATGAGTGTCTCTAACGTCAAAAGAGTCATCCTACATGTATACATAGCACCGGTCATGTGTCATAGCTCTATAACTGAATACACATTAAATGATTTAAAAAAAAATCCCAGCCAGCCAGACTCCATAGCCTCACACCGAAGGAAGTCTACAACCTGATGGGATAAAGCTTGTTTACTGTGCGGGCTGGGGTATGGATGGATCTTCCGGTCAAGATTCATAGACATGAGTCGTGCACTCCACATTTTTGTGAGCTCAAGCGTGCCAAAAGGAGTCGCAGTTTAGTCCATCACTCGTCACTTAGCGTCAAGAGTAAGTTACATGATGATATCTACTGTTGCTTTTGAGTCCCAGAATATACGAGGATGTGGAGTCCCTTCTTAGCTACTAACCAAGAGTATCTGAGCCTCCATTACGGCCCTTGCCCAGCGGTGATGTCCTTAGAGAACGTCGTCCAAGTATTTATCAGCTTTCAAGCACGCGTTGTGTACATAGTATTTATTTATTTATTTATATTAACGTCGTGCCTGCGCACAACACAGTGCTTTAAAGCCCCATGCCGGTTAGCTCAGCCTATAAAGGGCTACCCGACGCACCGGCATTCCCATAACAAAAACCCGATAAAGACCCCACTGCTCCCGGTCCGCATAGTCGCCAGATCAGTGAGACTCTTCTTAAATTGATATAAATTATATAATTAAAAGCGGAACTTAAACTACATGTGGATATTCGTATTTAGATAGCGTTGGTGTCTAAGTAATCAGGGCTGTCCTACAAATGTAGGTGCAAACAGAGCTTCCCCAATTAATGGTACCTTTGAAACTCTTCGAAAAAATAGAGTGGACTTAAGCCAGTCTCGGAACAAGATAGCTCCTTCTGGTGAGCTTAAAATCCAGCGAGCGTCTGGGGGACGGGGGCGATTGGCTCCACGAAGCCGCGCCTGTAGTAGGCCATGTTGACAGGTCATGAAATGCTCCGGCGATTTATCATGTCCACAGGAGCATGTTGAAGGTGCGCTGTTGTGTGCGAAACGACGGTGGTATGCTGCAAAATCACCATGGCCAGACCGCGCAGCGAGAAGAAGGCCAAGGGACCGGCGATCCATACTAGCGAGCTCTGGGGTGATGCGGGAGCTTGGCCCGATTCTAAGCGCTCTATACCGGTCAGGGGCATTTCGCGACCAGTATTCCGACGCAGAGGCCTCGTAGCGAAGATTGACAATTCTCCTTGCTCTGGCAATTGAAGGGGCCAGGTTGGGAGCGGTTATAGTACAGGCCGCTTTTGCGAGGGCATCTGCCTTTTCATTTCCAGGGATTCCTGAATGCGCTGGGCACCAGCGTACAGAGATCCTTCCTGGCTCAGTGTATCTGGCACGGTTCCTTGAAGGCCAGGATCTTGCGAGATCCCGAAATTTTGCGATCCGAGTCGAGCTGGATGGGGTCGGCGGTCCAAGGAGTAAGCGAGACGCTGCCTCTTGGTTGTCGAGACAGACAGTGATATTGGTGGCGTAGTATGCCATTGGGTTTCTAATTGCAGCTGCGAGGCCTTCCATGGCCCCGACGACTTCTGCATCATATACTTCTGCTGATTGACCTAGAGGAACAGAGCCTTGATCAATCACATGTTTTGCGCCGCGATAAATGCAGTACCCTGCACCTGCTGAGCCTTCCATCAGAGCTCCGTCTGAGAAAACGAAGAGGTCCAGGGGCGGTGCTGAGGAATGCCATTGGGTGAAGACTTGGAGCCCTGCTTCACGACCAACTGCTCCAATTGCTGTGAGTATTTCGTCTCTTTTTGGTGTCCAGGGAGGTGAAGTCGTGTTTAATGATAGTTCTGGGGAAATTCTGCGCCGAATCCAAGCCATTCTCGGAGATCTCCAGCGCAGTCGCAAGGGATGTTGGGGATCTGATGAGGCAACTCGCACTGCAAGCCGGTTGTGGATACGTTCGAGCCACCCCTGAGCTGATGACCATCCAGTTTCCCGCAGAAGGGCGGCCACTGGAGTGGTTTTGTATACTGGCAGTGCTGCACGGGCTGCATCGTTTATCCTGCGTTGAATACGGGCAATATCTTCTTTGCAGGTATTTGCTGAGAACCAGGTTTCGGCTCCGTAGAAAAGGGTTGTAAACGCTGCCCCTTGTAAAGCCTGTCTGGCTAGAGCTGGTCGGATACCTCGAGCGGTATTGCAGAGGCTTTTAATGTGCGCTGTGACGGCCGTAACTCTACCGCAAGCTTGCTTAATATGGTGGCGAAATTTCAAGCGGCGATCAAAGTGGACTCCCAGCCAACGAGTTTGGTCGTTAGGCCTGATCTCGACGCTGTCTACCCGGAGGCTTGGCTCAAAGGGTTTCCCCTTTTTCCGGTGGAAATATTGGAGCTCAGTCTTTGTTATCTCTAGCTCGATTCCGTTAAGACTTCCCCAAGCAAGTACGTTGTCCAGCTTTTTTTGGAGGCGAGCTGCGCATTCAGGTAGAGATGGTGCGGAAGCAAAAATTGCCACATCGTCAGCATAGCCGAAGCATCCTGGCGAGAGGCGCAGCATGCCCTCGATAGCCAGGAGGAACAAAATAGGTGAGACCGGTGATCCCTGTGGGAGGCCGCATTTAATGGCGAAGGGTGGAGTTGCTGTCCCGTCCAATGTGACTACGCCCTCGCGATTTTCCATGAATGATGCAACCCACTTGATAAGATTGTGGGGCCAGCCTTGAGTACGGAGATTATGGCAGAGACGTCCTCGCTGGATGCCATCAAATGCACCTTTAACATCTACTGTTACTATACCTGCAACCTTCTTCTCTAACCAGGCGGACTGGATGCCAGAGGCGAGGGCTGTGGTCAGATCCGTTGCTGACCGGTGAGGAACAGCGCTGCACTGGTTCTTTGCAAGGATATTTTGTGAGAGGGCAAGGAAAGAGAGACGTCGGGCCATCAGGCGTTCCAGCCCCTTCCCAAGGCACGACAGCAAAGCAATTGGTCGGTAAGACTTGGGAAGAGCTTTGTTTCGGTTGCCTGTCTTCGGGAGAATAGTTATGCTGGCCTTTTTAAAGGCATTTGGGTGTAGTCCTTGCAGGTCGCACAGACGGAACAAATCGGTCACTCGGGGCCCTAAAACTGGCCACGCTTGTCTTAGCGCTTCTGCGGTTATCTCGTCTAGTCCGGGGGACGATGAGGAGACTACGCAGCACGATCTGAAGATTTCCTGGTTAGTTAGTGCAGGCCAGGGGAGGCTTCTTCTTGCAACAGTTGGAATTCCCATGACTATATCCTCATGCTCGATGTGCCTACTCAGTAGAGCCCCCTGAAGTAGTTGTGCCTTGGCCATGGGAGTGAAGACGAGTCCGTCTGGGCCATTGAGTGGAGGGGTATGAAAACAGGGTGTTTTCTTATGCCAGCTTGTAACCCTATACGCTTCTGTGAGACAAGAGACCTGATCTACTTTCTCGCGCCACATTTCTCGCTTAGCTTTTTTCACCGCCTTGCCAAAGGCGCGGCGTTCAGCGATGGCCACTGATCCCGAGCGCTTGGCTTGGCAGAGTGCGTTGTGCGCGTTTGTACAGTTCCTGGTCCACCATCGATTTCGCGGTCCCTGTGTACGTTTTCTGGGACACGTAGCGTTGAGAGCACCTTGGAGAGCATCTACCAGGAAAGAAGCTTCTCTCTCTGGGTCTGAAGAGGGTGCGGCCACTAGTCTGTCGGAGATAATTTTACGGAAGGTGACCCAGTTGCAAGCAGAGTATCTGAGTTTTCCAGAGGTATCTCTTTCAGGTCCTGTGTCTGAAAGTTGAGTTAGTAGAGTTCTGTGGTCTGACCCGACTTCCAAGTCGTTTCGGATAGCACAAGATGCGTTGAGACTTTGTCGTGCGAAGCAAAGATCGATAGTAGCGCCGGCATCATGAGTGGGGGCATAGTATACATTCAACAACGTTATTCCCCTTGCAGTTGTCCATTCGAGTAATGAGTCACCTTCCGAATTTTCGTTATATGCTGCTGGGTCCCAGGCCGAGTGAT